CAGTCTTACCCCTGAAATGGGAAGCCTATTGAGTCGGCGAACTCGAGCCACTCTCACCCATGCAAATCTAAGGATAATTCTGAATGAACAGGATTTCATGGTTAGCTCAGGATTAAGATCGAGTTACCTAGGTCATCGAATGAAAAGAAAATCAGTCTCAATAGTAAACGACATTATAAAGTGAGAGTGATTTTCTTCATGGTCCGATCTTATGCAATACTCATTGCATAGGATGCCCCCACTCACATGTCTCCACATGTACAATTTAGTGATCACATTGTTTATATCATATACAGAAGTGGGCCGCATCCATAGTGTCCCCAGAATAAGGTACTCAGCCTTATCCTTATACTATAGATCATTTTGACTATATACTTGGACTTGATCCACTTTTATGTCTCTACATATAGTTCAAGTAATCATACTATAGCCAGAGTGTTCTTAGTTTATTAGATTTAGATTAATGATCGTAAAGTTCACTTTATTTAATAACAATTTTTTCTGAATAAACATCAATAATAACTTTATTGAATTATTGAAAATAGAATATATCTTTGTTTACAAACTATGAGTTTTAGAACATAAAACCTAACAGGGTCGTGCCTACGACGCTGTTACTTTGAAGAAATTAGAGTGCTCAAAACAAGCCTACGCTCTGTATACATTAGCATGGGATAACATCATAGGATTTCGATCCTATTATGTTGGCCTTTGGGATCGGAATAATGATTAACAGGGATAGTCGGGGGCATTCCTATCTCATAGTCAGAAGTGAAATTCTTGGATTTATCTTAAAAAAATTTCTAAAAAACATGTGGATGAAAACAAAGCATGTTGAAAGAGCTGATGACCATGTCGTCGGAATGTCGGAGCCATCAGATGTTGAATTTGAATTTTGGATCTCGAGCGTCATAGCAAAGAACTTAATCGATTGATTGACAACCCGTCCATCACATTGACTATGTTATGATTTTTTTGACTATGTTATGGTTTTTGAAGTAGAGGATTCAATGCTCAGTATTATTAGATGTACTCTTGTACCTTTTTGTATTAACTCTTAAAAGTTACACTATCAAATGCTTCTTATAAGATGTTTTAGGTTTAGATTTTCTCGATATTCTCTAAAATAATGAATTGCCTAAACCTAACAAAATGAATGAAGTTGTGACACTCGAGTAAAGGAGAGGTATACTATAACTGAATTAGAGCGTTTTCTGATGATAGGACGGTTAAGAAAAGCTTAAAAGAATTGAAAGTTACGACCTATGCCAACGAGATGCACATTTCTTTTCGGTTGCTCAGTCATAGAAACTTCATGGTTAAGCATGCTTTACTTGGAGCGTGATCTCTTGAGAATTTTCATAGGATGCATGTGAGTGAAGACAAAACATGTTGAAATGACTCGTGTTTGTATGTGGGGATAGTCTTCACTCTTAAGACGCGAGAAGTAGGTAATGTGACCATGTCGCAAGGGATGCAGGGGAATGTTGGGGTCATCTAATTGTCGAATCTGGATTCCAAATCCTAAGCATGTGAAGGTTAGATTAGGTCAATGGAAGGGTTTAAAGAATAAAATTGTTTTAGAACTCGATGGCTCCAAATAAAGCATGTTTAACTCATTGGTTCTACCCAATGCTAGATGCAGAGGCGCATAATAGATCGATATGAACATCATGAGCTGTCCCGTAATAAAACTTGTTGTTGCTGATACTTTCTTCTCGGTTCCTTCTTCCATAACCCGAGCTCGGAGAAGGAAGAGATAAGAGGGCCCTATGGAGAATGTAGTCAGAAATCCATAATAGAGTCCGACCACAACGATCGAATTGATTGCTCCAAATAAAGCATGTTTAACTCATTGGTTCGTCCCCAAATCACATCGGTACTGGTCTGATGTCATTTTGTCATGACTCATACCTAGGGTTTGGATCAGATAACATGGTCAAGTTATTTATTTTTCACTTTTAAGAGTGAAAACTATTTGATATTTGATATAAGAAAGTTAGCGTCACGAGTAAAACTATAGAGAGAGAAAACGTTAAAGAGTGAGATTGAAAAAAAAAAGTCGAGTAATTGACAAATTTTAGAAATAGAAATTATTTGATAAAGTTATCATTGTAATGGTCGAGCTTTGGGTAAGGGTAAAATCGTAATTTTACTTTCAATATTGCTTTGATATATTTAAAAAAAAAAAAATTAGGTCCAGACGTTAATATGATTGATTTGGGCTAGTCAGGCTCGTTAGACTCTTTGAGCTGAGAACGAGGATAAATTTGGCCCTTGTTTTCGAAAATCCTTTCGAAGAAGTACATGTACTTCTACAAAAAGTCAACTAGAACATAGCTCAACATTCAAATCGTTCAAGTTTTCGAGACGGCCTTCAAACCATACCTAAATTAATTACTTAAATTCATCAAATACATACATGTGCATATATATATATATATATATATATATATATACTCAGCTACTTACTACAGCCAAATTGAAAGCCGACAAAGAACAGAAAGACAGTGCAACAAAAAAAAAAAAAAAACATAGTACTGTGCTAAAACAGTTGCTCAAAGCTCAATAGTTTTGGCTGACCCGTTGTTATGTGTGTAATGATTCCACTTGCATGTCCTGTAATAGACAGCCCTCCTTTTCTAAGCCTCGTTACCCCCCTTTGATTTCAATGCTCTAAACATCCCATGCAACTTCCCCATACTTTCCCATGTCTTTTATGTCAATTTCACAATGCCAACTTCGATTGAGATAACTTGTACGACTACGTCACGTCGTCTTCGAGCTCGATGTGTCGATGGGTACATGATATATGGGGCTTGAGGAAGTACGGAAGTGATATTAATTCATTGAATTGGACTGATGTCGAGAGAGAGCCAGTTTCGTGAGAAAGAAAATTTGAAATACTTTTTGAATCGATCTAGAATTTGGCCATTGAGCTTTCGTTTTCTCTCATTCGATTATGAATAATAATCGAAAGATGTCAAATGATTCGTATAAAATCACTTCAGATCTAACGAAAAAGTGAATGATTATATAAGAAAATGAGATCCAGATCAGACTTTTCTATGACAAAACAAAGATGAATGGTTGAGAGGAACCTCTCTTAGTAGGATGTGGTACGAAACAAACTAAGGTGGAAACTAGTGGACATGTGATGCTCGAGTAAACGAAAAGTACATGAATGAACTAAGATCACATCCAAAATGAGAAATTTTCATACACTTATAAAAAATGTTTCGTTTCTCGCTCCAACCGATGTGGGATCTCACAATACCCCCCTTAGGGTTCAGTGTTCTCGACCGCCTGATGTCTGGCTTTCATATCATTTGTAACAGCTCAAGCCCACCGCTAACAGATATTTGTCTGTTTTGGCCTGTTACGTATCACTGTCAGCCTCACGGTTTTAAAACGTGTCTACTAGGGAGAAATTTCCACGCTCTTATAAGAAATGATTCGTTCCACACTCCAACCGAGGTGGGATATCACAGTTATATACAAAATTTAGATACTATTGTAGTTTCTTTTTCATGCATTCAATGAAACCTTAAACCCAAAACCAACAACCATATTCTTTCTCCTTTTCCCTAGTTCACTCTCTATCTCATTCTCGATTTCTCTTAATATATGCCCCGACAATGGTTAACTACAAATTTGAGGTACTTTTATAGCTTCTCTTTCATGTATTCAACTGAAACCCTAAATCTAAAACGTTCATATTCTTTCCTCATTTCCTATGTCTCTCTCCCTTATGAAAAGCGAATCAACGAGCTCGTCACAATATGATTATCTGATTGCCTATTAATATAGACTCTAAAATTTACCGATTTTCTTAATGCGAAGATCGGACAATTTTACGCTCTTATTTCATATCGCTCTCCCCATCATTCTCTAGTAATTTGGTGTATTTATAATGAAAAGACGTTGTGGGGCCCTTTGGGAGGGTGCATGAAAAGGGGATTAATGGGATCTCAGCTATGACCTAATTCTTCACGCAAGCCATGAGCATAAGACCAACATAACTTTCCCAACTAAGATCTTAGGGTGCAACATCTATACGTCCCATCACCTTTAATTCCCTTTCTCTAATAATGCATTTTCCTTTGTCCTTTAGATATTCATTCATTCATATTCCAACCTGTTAAATGTTGCTAACAGTCCGAGACTACTGCTAGTAGATATTGTTCGCTTCGCTCGTTACGTATAGCCGTCAGCTTCACGATTTTAAAATGCTTCGTCTTCCTCTTCAACCGATGTCGGATCTCACAGATTATAAAATCCAAATTACAATCGTTATAAAATTTGTTACCAGCTAGGGCGACTAAATGTAATGTCTCGTACCCAAGATTCGAATAAGGATACTAAATCCAAGTTCGGGTCGTGGGCATTATACATTATAAATGGTATTAGAAATTAAGGTTTTTTTAATCGAGTAGTTAAAAATATAAATTTTTGGAAGAAATCCACTCCATTATTCATTGACTTTGTTTTCTAATATATTTTGTAAAAAAAGATTTAAAAAAAATGAACTCTATTATCAACCGATCGTTGATTAAAATTGATGAATAAGAGATTTGAATCTTTGACCTTGAGAACTTTCTTTCTACGTGTTGAACGGTTTGATGAACAAATGACCTTAATCTTATTAAGAAAATGGCAAACTAGATTGGCTTATGATGCTTGAATAGTGTTGATTGAACATATATGTCACGATTCGATTTTCGAGACTTTGAAGTATAGACTGTGGTGCCTCGGGATGACCCTCTTTTGTGATCGTGCAACTTCCGAACCCTCCTCCACCTCGACCAGTAGTCAACGATCATCTGAAAATGAGAAGTAGAATCTGGTGAATATAAACATACTCGCCTAGTGCACTCTTGTTATTGGAAGGAAACTTTATAAACCGGTAGATTATAAGTTCCGTTGTTATAAAATTAATCAGTTTTTCATCCATAAACTCTATGTTACTTTATTATAGACTTAGAGTTGCACTCTTATACACCCTAGAACAAGTTATAGTTGTGAGTATAACTATTACATGTAAGTCGATCATTAACGAGTTGTTCATAATTACATCTGAGTTGAAAATCTATTATATTCTGTAATTACATTGCATACCTTATGTACTATTGATTCTCTATTGAACAATTCAACTCAACCGTTGTTCATAATTCAAGTATGTTGACGCCTCCAACTCAACCCAACCATATCATCTCTCGAGTCTCTTATAATATTTATACAATAGCTTTAATATGCATCGTGGAAGGTTCAAACCACTAATTTGAGAGTTAAGAACATATAGATCGATCGTTAAACTATGTTTACAGTTAAGCTCACTGCTAATAGATATTGTCTCCTTTGGCCAATTACGAGTAATCATCAACCTCTCGGTTTTAAAACGCATATGTTAGGGAGAAATTTCCAAATTCTTATAAAGAATGTTTCGTTCCCTTCTCCAACCAACGTGGGATCTTACATTCTATCGTCTTTGGAGGGTCAATGTTCTCGTTTGCACACTGTCCGGTGTCTGGCTCTAATATCATTCGTAACAGTTGAAGCCTACTGCCTCCATTTTGACATGTTTCATATAGGATAAAAGTGTATAATGGTTTAATGATTTCATAGTTGATATGACAAGACAGTCAGAAAAGGAAAAGAAGAGGTAAATGGTGAGCGTTTGAATTGACCTATCAAAACCCTTACACCACACACACTCTGATCATCACAGATTCAAACTCAGTGCTCCTCCGCTTTCAAACCATACCTTTCTTCTCCTTTATACTCGTACTACTTTAAGTCTTTTGTCTTTTTTAAACTTTCTTTTTCGAGTTTCAATCGGTTCAAGTTCCCTGTTAGCAGATATTGTACTCCCCTCAATATTTTTAAAACGCATCTAATTAACAATGTTTTGTTCTCCTCCCCAACCAATGTAAGATCTCACAATCCACCCATCTTGGAGGCCCAACGTCCTTACTAGTACTCGTTCCTCTATTCAATCGATGTGGGATCTCACAGTTCACCCCTTTTTGTGGCCACCCAGTATCCACCTGTCTGGCTCTGATACTATTTGTAACATGTCAACCCCACTGTTAATAGCATTCCGAACTTCCCCTCAAGGTTTTCAAAATGCATCTACCGGAGAACCGATCTTAAAATCACTCTCAATTCGTTAGGGGGAGAGGAAATAAAGGAATTGAAGAATCATATAAATACACAACAGATTAGCACTATTGATGGACAGTGAAACAGTGAACAATTAATTGGTTGTGTAAGAGAGAGTTTCAGAAGGCACTGATTCCCACGTGCAAACTGAGGGCATGCACGTGACAATAATACGACATGGAAGAAGATAAGGGTTAGAGAAAGGGGTGGGAGGAGGTTCAAAATATGAAGAGAAAGTTAAAGGAACACTCACATGTCTTGTCTTTCTTTCTTTCAACGTCTCTCTCATTCCTTTTGCCTTTTCAACCTCTCTTTTATTTATTTACTGTTTGGAACTGAAGTTGGGCACTGACCCATTTTGTATTTTGTGTCCAAACCAACAGCTCTGCTTCTTTGACATGTCCAACGTATGTGTTCTTTGAGATGTCCAACGTATGTCTTGTCTTTGTCTTTGTAAATGTATTATGGGTATGTACATGCATGGGTATAAGTTTATTTGAGATGCTTTCATTGTCTTCTAAATTAAACCTACATGGTTATCCTCCTTTTCAACAAACAAACCTCAAAACGTTTTTGCTGTAACAAAGAACGTTCTTGTATAACAATCTAAGCTTATCGATAACATATATGGTCTTCTTTGGGCTTTCCCTTCTAGGCTTCGAGCTTTTCACCTCAAGGTTTTAAAACATGTATACTAGAGAGAGGCTTCCACAATCTTATAAGAAATACTTCATTACCTTCTCGCCCAATAGATGTGTGATCTCACAATCTAACCCCTTGGGAACCTAGCGATCTCGCTGGCACACCGACCAGTTTATAGCTTTGATATCATTTGTAACAGTTCAAGCCTACCGCTAGAAGATGATGTCTTCTTTGGACTTTCACTTTTGGGTTTCAAGATTTTAAAACACGTCTACTAAAGAGAGGTTTCCACGTCCTTATAAGGAATGTTTTGTTCCCCTCTCCAACATATGTGTGATCTCACAATCCATACCTTTAAAAGCCCAGCATCCTCACTGGGACACCGCTCGGTGTCTAACTTACCATTTGTAATGACCTTAGTCCACCCTAGCAGATATTGTCCTCTTCGAGCTTCCCTTTCAGGTTTCCCCTCAAAAAATTTAACCGCATCTACTAAGATTAGAGTTTCACACCTTATAAAAAATGTTTCACTTGTACTCATCTCGAGGTACGTTAGTATCAATATTGCTATTGAGCTTAAGCAAATATGAACCCTACCATAAAAACATACACTTTTAAGTTGGCTATGAAAGAGTGAGACAACAAAAGCAAGGTAGAGAAGGAAACATTTGTTATTGTGCAATCTATGTTGCTGTTCACATCCCATCACTTTTGGACATGTTCTGCACACTAGCTCATCTTCTACTAAACAGACTATTTTCCTTAAATCAAATTTACTTCTTCTTACAATGTTATACGACATCATAAATGACTCACTATGGACACGTGAGGGTTCATGCCTCGATAGTAATTAGATGATTGGGTGTCTGAGATGTTCCAACGATAAAGTGAACTCATGGGTCGATTCTCGATAAACATATTTTAGCGAACAGAGAAGGCTGATGGCGTCCCGTGACTTGAGATGACATCATAAAGCACCAGTCGTGTTGTTGAGAATCATGATGGGGAGATGAGATGCAACGTTGCGTTTGAAAGATATTAACCTTATGTAGAGGTAAGGTCAATCATCGTGACTTTGTTTAGAGTAGAGGCAAGTCGGCTAAAGTCCAAGAAATTGACACATGCATGCCCAAGTTGTGTAATAGTTGAACAAGCTTAGTTTCTACATAAGTTATTGTAACGGTCCAAGCCTACTGCTAGTAGATATTGTCTTTTTTGGGGTTTTCCTTTCGACTTTCCCCTCAAAGTTTTAAAATGCGTCTACTAGGGAGAGGTTTCCACAACCTTTAAAAGAGTGTTTCGTTTCCCTCCTCAACCAATATAGGATATCACAGTTATGTTCGGTTGATGAAAGAAATGGAACTTGAGTTCTCTTTAATACTTATCATATGACCGTGTCAAGATAAGATCATGACATTACATGGTTGATTAATAGTATTGGACCCTCGTATTTAATTAATTTCCAATAAAATGAAAACAAAATGAAAGGTATATATATTTATGGTTTGGTTGAGTGGGAAGGGACAAGCGTGGGGCTGTCTTGTCATATCAGTGTACTGACTGTCCTCTCTTTGCCTCTGTCCCCTCTGTTCTTTTCACTGTTCTTTTTTTGGGACATCTTCTATTTTTTTCAACTACTTCCCTTTATTTACCATATATTTATGGTATTTTTTTCTTTTATTAATTTCCCTTTATTTTAACTATTGGTTTTTTTTTATTGATATTTATTTGATATTATAGAAATATCCATATCCAACTATCCAATTTAGAGACATGTAGGCCATCAAAAGCTATGGAGAAACAAGGAAAACTGCATGGCCCAACAAATCATTCATCTAAGCCCATAACCTTCGCCCTTTTCTTTTGGGTCTCAATGATTTAAGTAGGTTGTTAAAAGAGTGCCAATATCAATGTAGAAGCCAAGTATGCTCGACTTGTATGATACTACCTACGGTATGATGTGTTTAATGATATGTTTGAGATAGAATACGAGAAGAATATACAAAACGTGATGTAACGATAGGAGTAGATATGTTCACAAAACGTTAAGATTAGGTTACGTACTGAAGTGCTATGGATATGAGAGATTGATAAAAGAATACGATTAAGTTATAAGCAGAAAAGGATGGAGTGGAAGGGAAGTTTCAGCTCCGAACCATGGTTTTGAGTGAAAGGTTATTCAAATCTAGATTGAATAATAGTCGAAGTCATAGGTTTTCTAAAGCTAGCAACTAGGTTCTATTAGCTCAATCGAGCTCATCGCATGGTTCTTATAAACCACCTCCTCAAAGTTCATCATTCTTCGTGATCTAATTCTTCTGAGCTCATTTCATTCATGGGTTCTTATCATTTAGCTTCTTTGAGCTCACCCAGTGTCGTTAAGGTTATTCGAGCTTTTTGGATAATCTAGCTCTTTACTTTACTATCCTGCAATCGTTTCAAACCGTAAATATAATTCTACGAGGCACGAGCTCATCATGATTCGAACTCACAACTCATATACATACTATGTTCATTGAGATAACCTACTATTAGAGACTAGTTGACAACTCTCTAATAGTTCTCATGATCATAGACATTAACTCAAACTCTAACAACTTACTATGTTGTTGGGAAGATTTTGAAGATTTTAGCTTACCTTTACTTCAAATCAGAGGATTGCAAATATCATCAATGTAGTTGCAAATATCATCTATGTAGTTGCAAATATCATCTATGTAGTTGCAAATTTCTAGGGGTAAAAATGGTGCATAACTTGAGATGTTCATTTAACTCGTCGAGAACAAAGAGGAGCGACGAGTTCTCTCCTCTTTGACTCAATACAGTTGGGGACGATGATTATACTCACTCATCCCATCCTCCTCGACAAGAAATGGAAAATTTTTGTAAGATTGAAATAGATAATGGGAATGGAGATAGAAAAGCAGTAGTAATAAACAAAATTTTGATACAGATATATATACACAGTTCCACTATCAAAATCATCTAAACTGCTGCATTTCAAGTGTGATTAGCAGAACTCAAGCTATGGAGTCCTCACCTTGTGAAGATGCTTGTTCTTCCCATTTCCTACTCCTACATTGAATGAGATATCATCTGGCATTTAAATTCATTGGAGGAAGTAAAGAAGACATACTTGAAGACAAGGAAGGAGTTCGACGGGATTAAGAATCAATAAATAGTTGATGATCTTGGCCATTGTGTTATTCCTCGGAATGATTCACCGGATTGTTCTTGGGAGGTTGTTCCTGTATGCAGCTCTTTGGTGTAGCATCTTCTTCAGATGCCGAGCTAGCATCGATATACTTCTCCGAACAGTCGATTTGCAGGCATTCAACTTCACTGTTTTGAGTTTCTGAATCATGGGTCCGACTTGTCAATGTCAAATCTTCCTTCTTTACGACGTTAAGCACGATCCCATTAAGTATTCTTTCGGGCTGCAAAAAGTCTCCTTCAGTTACAAGAATGCTTGAAGAAACTCGATGGCCGAGCTCTCGCATGTCAAAATCTGGGCACTCGGAACTCCGGTCAGACGTGGTTCGAGGACTTTGAGAATTTTGACTGCCACCAAATGGGTGAACCCCATTGGAATTAGCTACCAAACCTCTATTGAGGTCATCAAGATCCAAATTCTGGACAAAGTCTATGAACTTATTTGCTGATGATGTCCTCATCAATGGCCCACCAGATCTAGTCCAAGTATTCAAATCAATATTTTCTGATTCGCTATCACTACCATCAAACATAGTACGGTGAGTTCGCAACATTCTTCCAGTGGATCCTGAACCGATCGATCCACTAGGACCTTGATGGCAAGTCAAAGAAACATCAGAAAGACATTCTTCTTCGAGCGAACCAGACGAGTTTTCTCGTGCAATGCAGTTCCAGGAGGGAATTCTTCTTGAAGCGCTGAACTTGACAGGGGCTGGAGAAACATGTGAGGCAGCAGCAGCGGCCCTCTCAGCGCTCCTTTTCAACCTCCGCATATGGTTGAGAATTGTAACACATTCATCTAGAGCAAGCTCAATGCCACAGTTGGCTTTTATTGCTGACAGCTTCTCCCAGGTGCACCTCCTACCTTGGTTCGCCGACTTTTGAAGATCCAAATGCGTAGGATTTTGTATAATTTTAGAGTACTGTAACAAAAGGAAGTTCTTCAGCAATGACACATTTGTTGTTCTAAAATGAGTTTGTAGCATCTTCTAACATGAAAAATACCTGAGCAAGAGTAGCTGGCATGACGACCGTGACGTCTCCTTCCCAATCTTGAGCAAAAAGCTTCGCGATTCCTCCCAAGGGAAAACCGAGTTCCAAAAATTGGTCGCATCTATGTTTTACCTCCATTTCAGCAAGATGAGCAAGCTACATAGCCAGAAACATCATGATAGAATTAACAAATAACGCATAACACATAATGCTAGATCGAAAATAACTTATCGATTCATAGAACTGATGAACAGAGAGGGACAGAGACAGAAGTTTTATAAACAGATTGAATAATTGAGAATGTCCATAGCAGTCCATGAAAAAATAAACCAAGTAGCAAATATATTCTCAAAACTCAAGTTCTATTTAACCTATAAAAACACATCATGTTCGAGTAAGGTCGTGGTACGAAATGTATTTTGATATATATTGAACACTTAGATTCATATATTTTTGACATACAGTGCAGGAAAACAGGGATATAAGAAGAAAACTAGTCAGAGCACATACAAAAGATTCTGAGCGTTGTCATACCTTGCCAGCAAAGTTTCCCCCACAAGCTCTGAAGAATTCTTTCATTCGCAATAGTGGTGCGATATGGGGATTTGCCTGACTGACAATGAAATGGTTTACATTGAACAATTCTTTCAATTGAATCATCGGCAGATCAATCTCCAAGCTGCCATCTCTCCATCGACGTACAGATGCGCCTGAGCCCTCTTCAGGATCCAAATTAAAAGGTGGATGATAGGGAACAATCTCACCGCTTCTGTTCTTGGCCATTAATTCCTGTGCCTCAAAAAGGCCAGGGAATGCACAAGATGCTGTCACAGCACTCCATATCACAACATGAGGAGACGTTAAGTAGTTAAGACATCTAGGCGGCTCGTGCTTCCTCGGGGAACAAACTGTTATCCCAAGAATTCTACCTGTCATGTCATAAGCTTCCTGAAAAGTTAGGTTAGAAGTGAGTTGCCTTAACATCATTTGTAATTGTCGAATCTCGTGAACAGCACCTTGTATCATTACCCTCCTTACAACGGTAAAAATACCACCCATCTGGTCGAAAAACTGAAATGAATGCCAAGAGTCATCGAAAAAGCTTTGTAGCTCAGGCCAGGATCGAGTGGCAACAACAGCACATATGATGGATCCTACACTAGAACCAGCAATTATTCTAGGCAAAAGTTTATGCTCTACCAGAGTTTTAACCACTCCTGCATGAAAAGCCCCAAGTGAAGCACCTCCACTTAAGAGTAGGGCAGTCCTTCCAAACGCATGCCTCGTTTCGTGCATGAACGAGAGTTTCTCTTCCAATAACAATTCTTCAGAATCCGAGTCACAAACCAATCTCAATTGAGTCGAAACCTCATTTATGTACTCCTTTATGAGTATCGGAATTCGAAGCCTACCCTTGTGTAGTTCAGGGTTACACATATTGCCAAGATTTCGGAAAAGATCAGCTCTCATCCAAAACATTATATCTCTAAGAGATCCCTCCTGGCGACGATGGCGAAGCTCTTGAAGCTTGTTCCTCACCAACTCTTCATCATAGAGGTTTGACTCATTCAACTTTGGAGTCTCTTTATCAAGCATTTTAGCAGCATGAGCCCATTCCTCATAGGTCAATGCAGTTCTCATCATGTTTCTCCAAAACTTCCTTCGGTACGCCAATTCGGCCCTCCCTTTCACATTCGTGTATCGTTTCAACAAAAAAGCAATAACGGTAACCATCGCCAATATCCCCTGTGGATTTCTAGGATGCATCCATGATAATATGGGTGCTAAGATGGCCTTAAATCCATAGATAATATTCAGCAAAACACGAAATAGTTGATGCCTAAATTGCGACACCGATTTGCAAAACAGGATTCTGAAAGCAATTGTTCTACCTACAATGGTTGAAGGACCAATAGAAAAGGAACCAACCTTGGCCTCATTACTAATTTCCATAACTCTAAAAGGGAACTCAAGCAATCTGTCACAGGCTAATAGAATCCACACTCAGTTCTCTGTGGATGTAAGACTAACAGATCAAAACATGAAAGAATGGATTGTGTAACAGGACAGGAAAATCAGGATTCTACAAACTTCAATACAATGGCTATGATCAATGGAAACAAGAATCGATCCCCAAATAAATTAAGAAGGCATGTAAAGTTGCACCAAATTCAACAGCACACTCAATCCTTCAGCTCTTCAAAATAAATTACTAGAAGAAGAACAATGTAAACGGCATTAATAAACCTGAATATGGCAAAGAATTCCTCAATCTGAACTTGTACAACAACAATGGATCCTCAAATCCAAAGGAAGTCCCATAAGAAACGAAAATTTGAGTTGCTTAAACGACAAGCAACGCCAAATATATCGAACAATCAACCTCTCGAATACGAAATTCACCCACCAATCTGTCGCAATCTTCGAAAATCTAGAAACTAAATCCCCAAATCAGAAAACAGGTAACAGAAGATATACGATCAGCAAAACAGAGAGAATGCAGTGAATGTGGAGAAGAAGGCAAAGAATGAAGAAAGAAAAACGCGAAAGTGAGGGCCCAAAAGGAAAGTGGTTATTGGGAAACGTGAAGAAGATAACGATAATGATAATAATGGCGAGGATTGAAGAAGATTCGATGGGGCAGGCAAGAAGATGGCGCCCCCACAATTTGGGAAAATTTGGGAAAATTTGGGTGAATCGTCTCTGAATTTGGAGGCTTCGATTTGAAGGAATTTCCGGGAAAATTTGGGAGAATCGTGTCTGAATGTGAAACTTTGGATTTAAAGGAATTTCCGATTGCTTGTTGAGAAGAAAGGAAGCGATGGCGTCGGGTTTTATATTAAAAAGGTTTATTTACGTGATTTCAATGCAAGCCACAAAATTTGGTAAATCATTCATTTAATGCCACTTTCTAAATGCTTTTCATATATTTTTGTTGTATTGCAAATTGGGAATATTTTTAAATCATACTTTAAATAATAACGACTTGCATGTACATATAATTTAAAGTTAGTTCATATAATTTGTGGAGTTTATATGACTTACATGTACAGAATTAATTTGTGGTGTTTATATGACTTACATGTACAGGATTATTATTGATATGAGGCCTCTTGGGGAAGCCCAAAGCAAAGTCACGAGAGCTTATGCTCAAAGTGAACAATATCATATCATTGTGGAGAGTCGCGATTCCTAACATTATAACCTAAACAATTCGAACTACTCAGCTAATTTTGTTGAAGGGTTAATCTTATTCCCATAAGTGACATGAAGGTACTCTACTCGTTTGAACTCTACATGTGAGGCCTTCTCTGAAGAAGAAGAATGCAATTAAACCTCCCAATCCAAGAACCATCTCTACTGCTCTTTTTCTTCTTTCATGAGGATTAAAGGGAAAGAGGTATCATTGATGCTTTCATCCTTGTAATAGCACGGGGTATTATTGATGCTTTCATCCTCAGAGTAGCACAAAAAAGAGTCCCCTTCCTGGTATCCGTAGGAATCATCGAGAGAAGAAACCTAAAGGTCTTGAATTGCCACCAATCAACAATGTGAACGGTTGAGCTCTGTCCGTTAGCAAAGAAACCATCATGCGTCCAATCCGTTAGAGGCAAAGAAACCATCATGCGTTCAATCTTTTTATTGCTTGGGGAGGTAAATTGGGGAAGAAGAGGACTTGGAGGCCTAATCGACGAGTACCCGATTCACACCCGGATCATTTTCATTGCATCTCTATACTCAGTCCAAACCGTTATCTATCTACCATTGGTCAAATCAATCCCCTTTCAACAACATTACCATAAGATACTCGATTATAAAAATTGAGTTAATTATATATTTTTTTTTTCAATGAAAAGCTAAAAATTAATTTGCTCGTGTTTTTAATAGTATAAATATTCATTTTAATTTTTAAAATGAAGATTATAATTTAATAATATATTTTTTGTCGGTTAAAGTCCGAAGAGGTTGCCTGTAAGGATGATAAAGAACGTCATCTCTGGACCCTCATAAATACTACTCTTTTTTTTTAATGAAGCAATGAAATAATAATCCTTTTTTTATACACATAATTCAAATCTTTCCTAATAATGGATTGATTTTGCTTAAAAAAATTATCACCATTATATGTTTAGAGGTATGCTCGTTGGATGAAAGTCCCACCTCCGCTAATTTAGGGAATGATCATGAGTTTATAATAAAAAAATACTACCTTTATTGGTCGGAGGCTTTTTGGGAAAGCCCAAAGCAAAGCCACGAGAGCTTATGCTCAAAGTGAAATATCTTGTGGAGTCGTGTTCATCTAATAATGCTTAAGAGTATTCATATCACTCGATAACCCAAATAACTCAAGATTTGTTCCATACAAATCATTGCTTGAAATGACGAAAACATATCTGCAAATCATATATGGAGTAAATATAGGAAAACCAATGCTTCTTTCTTTTTATTATTCCTTTTCTGGAGTTGGTGATAATAAGAGATAAAGAGTAGAATCAGTCCCAGCACAAATTCAAATGTTTTCAAGAAGAGAGGGAATCTTTGCCAAAAAAATTAACCTATAAGAGTGGGAGATTAGGTTTCTTTATCTATATTGTTAAGGAGAACGTGTAGAAGATAACTAATAATTGCCCCAACTATCAACATTAATTCTAAAGCTTCCTAGACTCTACTTGTTATAGCTTATTTCCTCATCTCTTCAAGACTTGAAAGCAAATAAATTACTACTAACCTTTACTTGGAAGTTAAATCTTGCAACTACTTTGGGCCAAGTTCTCGGCCACGCTTAGCAGCAGCGACCACAGCGTTCATAAACATGCCACGAAGTCCTCCCTTCTCTAGTTCATGGATACCAGCAATGGTGGTTCCACCGGGTGATGTAACATCATCTTTAAGCTGTCCTGGGTGCTTCCCAGTTTTAGTGACCATGGAGGCTGCACCTAACACCTGTAAACAAATTCTGAATCATTTAATTCCAATTGGTAAATTTGAAGCAGAGAGATTTGAATTGATTTTTTCCAGAAGCACATAACTACGCTTAGCATGTTTCACTAGGTAAGAAGTCATATGGCGCTAGAGGAGTTAGGGCCTAAGAAAACCTACCTAGACATTGGAAGACCATGAGTCCATGACTGAACCAGCTTGAGAAATGTTTGTGTAATGCACGTTCACTGGAAAGTATGATTCACTAGAAAGCCAGAAATGTCTTTTTTTTCTTCAGATAGTCGAAATGCAATGTGATAGAGACGAGGTGTGGACGAGCTAGAGACTTTAGAGATCCTACCTAGATCTGAGCCTATCTTGGTTGTATCTACTTTTTGTGTTAAGGGTTTTGAAACTAGATTTTATTGTACATATACGTAAATTATGGTTGCTTTGTTTTAAACTAATATTAAAATATGAAACGTTTCTGTAAAATTAATCCGTGCCAGTAGTAGCTATGTGAATCAGGCTTTACAGTGAGCGGGTTACAGTTTGAGACTATTATCTGGCACATATCACTTTAGAGTTCATTGTATAGGAAAATCAGATGGGAGACGAATAGGGTATGATTTTCAGAGAGGAGAAAGGTCTACATTGGGACAATTTGTATCATCCTCAGGTTCTACATCACATCTAATAGATAATACAAGGTTCAAATATGGTTAGTTAACTATATATATTGTAGAGCATCTTCCATTGGAAATTTAATTTTCTTTTTAGACCGTTTACTTCTTAACCTTTTGACATCGACATCAGAAGGCAAGTTCGATCTTTTCTTTATTTCAAGTTTGATCGTTTTTCAAATTATAAATCACATTGTAAGATAAAATGCTAATATATGGCAGCTGTATATCCATTCTTGGCGCAAACAATAAGGAATGTCCAAACAAATAACCATGCTACTTTTCTTTTCATTTTTAAACAAAAGGAGTCTATGCTCTTTCTTTATTTACTGAAGTGGTCTATTTGTGCATATCTTACTTTTAATTATGTGTGACTACGGTACACAACATTAATTACTTTAGACATAGGTCATCAGATGAATTTGACTTACAGTTTGTGAAGCTAGACCCATGGCAAGTTCTCGTGGTAGACCTGCAGCGACTCCTCCATCAGCCAAAGCTTCAATTGCTAGGAATATGTATGCTGGTCCACTACCACTGCATATTTCCATTTACATAAAATCGTATCCATTAGCTGGAGAATGCCGATGGTACCGAAAATTGGAAGGACATTTAATTGAAATATGCATTAGAAAGAAACTGCAAAAGGATACCAATCGTCTGAAAGGCTTAGTTCTCTCCCAAGACTATATTAAAAATATGCTTTTCTCTAAACCCTCCAACCCACTTCATTAATGAACAGCCTACGTTCGGTAGCAGTAATATTAAAATAATATTGTAATAAAATAAATTCTCTGATAACATCCTACCATTTATCTTAATTGTATCCCCAACAAAAGTAGGCTTCAAAATAATCAGGATGTGGCAATAGAAAGAAGAGAATTTTGAGTCTTATGCTCCGCTAATTTGAAAAACTGTAGGATTCAGATCTTACAACATACTACATACATACCTCAGACCAGTGATTGCATCAAACAATTTCTCATCAGCCTCCCATATCTTACCCACAGATCCAAATAATTTAGCTATTAGTTGTCCATCCTCCTTTAACGCACCTTCTCCAAGGCTCATAACTAGTCAAACAGAAGCAGAGTACATATCTTATCATTGGTCCGTATATAAGAAACAAAATGGTGAAAATTGCAGGGTAAAATATTAATGTACTTTTTGTTCTTTTCCATGCTATGCACCTAGGTCAAAAACTAATTGAAAATCATGATATCTATCATCGACAACGTAATGAAGTAGTACTGAAGCTGGTTAATATATTTTGCAAGTTTGGTTTGGCTTGTTGGATGAAGCTTCTTAGTAAGTAAACCAAATTATCAATCAGAAAGTTGAACAGAATTCTGCACAAACATGCTAGTATTTCAACAGAAGCCTCAATTCTCATGAAGATACATGGTCTAGATAAAGGAGAGAAAAAAAACCTTCATCCTCAAATTATTTTCATTATTTTTTTATAAAAAGTTCCAAGATGCCTATATCTTTCTTCCTATAAAACTCGTAGTGGTACAATACACGCACCCTGATTGGCCAATTAATTGCATCCCTCACTTCCATTTGCGGTTTTGACTGCTAGATCATACATTATAATATAATCAAAGACCGGTAAAATCAATTATATTATCCACTTTACAAAGTAACATCTTCTGGAAACAGGTATGGGTGCAGGAAGTGATATTAAATTTAAACAACAGGAATAGGAAAAGACAATACCTGATGCAGCCTCACCAACAGCCGCTGGGGTATTTGGCATAACTCTAATGAATCGGTTATGACCTGCCCATTCCTAAATGTATAGAGCATTACTCCAAGGGAAATTTGTACGTTGAAAATGAAAATAAAAGGTAAAAGTATGTGATTAATGTGCAACTTTGTAGCAAATAGATGAGATCATAAAAAATATAGTGAGGTTGGGATAAATTTTTAGAGTAGAACATTCTTCCATAAGCACTTATGGAAAAACATTTTTGGATGATTTTTGAAAAAACATGATTTTAAATATACTACTCTTACCCCCATCGGGATAACTTTGACCCCTTCTCCCGTTCCCACCTACGTATATGAGATATTTTAAGAAGTGAACATCTTTATTAGTCGCAGAGTCCACACTCTTGAAAAAGGCACTGATCAAGTGTTTCTCCTAAAATCACTTTAGGAGCCTTTATGTACTTCTAGAATTTTCAAAACCATTTTTAATTATCTAATGAAACACTTCAAAAATTCCGGGGTTGGTGTTTTAGCACATAACCCTCAACTTAAAATACCTCACAAAGTCCAAAAAACAAGTCAGTAAAGTCAAGAACCTGCAGATCCTGTAGCTTTACTCCAGCAGCAACCGAAACCAAAAGCTTCTTCCTCGAGAGTTGAGGCCTCAGTTTCAACACCACATTCTTAACTGCAACCAATATAAGCCATTAGATGCTTTACGGCTCGCAAGTAGGATATAAAGCACTTCAACATAAAATTGATGGAGAAAACATGCTTTTTAAGCAAGAGTCACAAAAAACAATTCATTACAACCCCAACAAATCACAAATGAAAGCATAACAATTAATCATTTCGACATACAAATCACCAGAGCTTCTATCAAAACGTCTAGCGACATTCCTCTACTGCTTTTGTAAGCATTTTTCAAGAAGATAATGAGAATACCACGAAAAATGAATGAATAAACAAACGAGGAAAGCAGGATCTCAATAGATGAGATGAACAACAGCCGTACCGACTTGAGGTTTAACAGAGAAGATGATCACATCACTTTCTTCAACCACCTGGTCAAAAGTAATCAAAAAAGAGAAAAAAAAAAAAAAAAAAAAAAAAA